AACTTTGCAAATATCTTTTTTCCTGTTTTATACTAATTAAGATTACCAAAGATAAAATAAAGAAGCAAAGGTTACTGGAATAGAAGAATTCAAACAAGTGCATGAAATTAGAGAATATAACTGAACTACAAAGGTGGGCTCTTGTTGACGTTTAGGTTTATACTTTTCCCGTAAAAAATAATTTGCTTGGGTGAATAACAAAAATATTGAATTTAAAAGAGAGACAGACTTATGGATATTCAAAATATTTATGAAGGTTTTGCTAATTTTTTTGTTGTCATTTTTAAGATTTCGCTGACTGAAACGTTTATATTTATGATTTAAATTTACCCTGAAGAAGATGCTGAGTTACTTGACTGAAATCTTAATAAAATCCTTTTTTTGGTTCTGAGGGAGAATCTCTTAATGGATTTTTGAAGCTTGCGGAGCTTATGCCCTTGTAAAATGTCTCAGATTATTCTAACTTCAATATTTTTGTACTATTAGGAGAAACACATTTCCATTTACCCCTTATATCAATTATTCTATCATTCATTAGTTGAAAATGCAAGTGCTGGTAGTAGTAGTAGTAGTAGTAGTTCTAGTCACATACCGGTAAAGAGAATCCTTGCTGCCATTCCTGGAAATACGATTAAGAACATTGGTAGGATCTTCAAGTAGCCAGCCATAACACAGCCTGCTTTAGCATGAGATACGTTCTTAGCAGACAATACACGCTGAACGAAAACCTATTGTAAAATTAAATCATGAATGATATTTTAAATTAGAGAAAAATAGAAAAGTTTTGATAATCATTGTTTGGGACTCCAGTAGAAAATGCAGAAACAATTTTGTATGTCTTGAACCACACACTCATTAACCAGACAAAACATAAATGGTGTGTTTATATATTATATTGTATGAATAATAATATACTTATCTGTATAGCATGCCTTCAATAGCTGCAAGGGTAGAATTATCAATTACAGGCAATTAAACAAAGTTTACTGACCTTGGCAAACTGGCTTAAAGAAGAAAAAGTATCATAAAACTACATTATAATAAGACAGATTATTTTAATTATCTAACAATATTCTATTTACAGTAAAAACTTGATATTCTCACATAAAAGAAAATCCGATTAAAAGAGGAATAAACCTTTCACTACAGCCTCACGTGAATACAGCAGTTATTGTCATATAAATATTATATAATGACTTTTTTTATTCTTAAAACATCAGTTTGTTTCATTTGTGAATATAAAATAAGGTATACTATAACTTGCTTTTTTTACCTCAATATTTATATTTGCAGCTATATTACAAAAATTACCATTTATAATTATTTATTCAAAAACATGACTCTCTCAAACTTTATCGCATTAAGGACTTTCAGGTGCAATAGCGCCCCTACGGTGACAATGAAATTTATCAAATAGAAGATTATGATTTATAATGGCGATTTTTACTATTTGTAGATGTTTTATTATCATTGAACCAGCTGTTTGAAGCTTATTTCTACGCAAAACTATGCAAATGCATTTCTAATTACAAGTCACTGTTAGATCGTAATTTTTTTTATCAATTCTGATTACCTGGTCGAAACACCAGTGCCACACTGAGATAATGGTCAGACCAAAAATAGTTCCAGGCCAAGGAACTACAGGGTCAGTCGGTTCTCGAAGAATGTGCATATAATCATCGGGTACTTTGCTGCAGGATTCATTATTTATGTCGTACCCTACAAAGGACTTGTTTGGATGAGCTTGTAGATACTTGTGAATTAGTTGGCTGTAACCTCCGACCTTTTGAAAACCTGGAGTGTATACAACTCTAAGTAAGGTACTATAACAAACAGTGGGGACAATAAAGATATCAATTATATTTATTAATGGATTAAAGTAGTTGCATCAAGAAATATATTACGATATTCAAATTTGGATATATAATGCTATAAGGTTAAGTATTGGATTGTAATCTAATGTACTTGTACATTAATATCTTTGATCTCTTGGTACATAATTTGATAAAAGAGCCATAGCACGTTATTTTAAGAATTTACAGTACACATACTACCTAATGCAAGTTAGAAACGTTTACAGCATTACATGATAGCAAGTGAATGATATAATGAGGAAAAGAGAAGTGCCGAAAGTTACGCTAATCAACATAAGCAAAATAGTTATTTAAAAAGTGTGATTGCATTTAATACATTAGTGTCTTATTCCCTTTTAATATCTTTAATAAGAACACATTTACTTCCATTTCAAGTAAAATATTCCTACATATAAAAATATTATTTCATTCCGTTTTCAATTACCATGTTTTAAATAGACTAAAGATGTGCAAAAAATGAATTATTTGATAAGTTAGTTAATAAGGTTTCTGAACAGCAACGATATAAAACTTACTAAGAATCATTAGTCCCGTAGCACCTCCTACAATCAGTAAAGTCTGAACAAAGTCTGTCATGATAACAGCTTTAAGTCCGCCTGAAAGTAAATGACAAGAAGGATGTACAAAATGTGAATTTTCCCTACCTACATACCCTTCGAGTTTCTTCAGTTTAAGATATTGTATTCGCTTCTACCCACAAAGTTTGTAAACCATATAAATCATCAGAAACTTGCTTTTAGTATAGTTTAGTGCTTACTCATAAAAATGTCAAGGTCATCTATTCCCTAAAATTAAGTTTTCAGATTCTACGTTCAGTCATCGCTCGAACCACCAGAAGTGTATACAATGATTGTTGAAGTATCTTGAACACTTTTCGGTGTGCAAACTAGTGCTTATAAGCCTGCGTTTTATTGTACCGTTTGTATACACAGTACAGCAATATTCTTGCCCCTAGGTCCCTAACGGTCATGTTGAATTCAAAGATAAAAATAATCTATACACAGCGAGGCCAGATTTTTGCATAATAAAAGACAGTCTGATTCACTGTTGACCCACACCTCATACAGTCCATCTTAAAATATGTGTTCCTGTGTGTATGAAACTGCCTGCTTCAACTGGTACATACAGTGTCAATGAGTTCAACTGTGGAAAGTCCAAAGCCGCAATACCCATTTCAATATTTTCACATCGATCTCTTTTGTGCTAAACCAGTTGGTACAAATTACTCCACTATTTCGAGCATGTGCTGTTGAACAGGCAGAACCAACCTTATTGTTTTGCAAGAGAGCAGGCTGATAGCAATTGCAAAGATTACACACAATTCTCAGATAATCTCCTATAAAGACATTCTTCAACTTGACAAATACCATGTCTAGTAACTTTCACCGTCTGTTGGTCTTCTTGCGCCACTGTAGATCGAAGGTAATAGCATAAAAAACAAAAACACTAAACATAAACTCTTAAAGGTTTATAAGTACACAAAAATAAAAACAATGTAAACATTTTATTTTCAGATAAAAGAAGAAACTTTAACAACGTTTTATTAATAACTGGATGTGGAAAGAAATACTTTGTCTGATACAGTTGGCAACATTGGTATTCCATGCATGATGTACCGCTAATAACAAAAAGACATACATGTAATACTTTTTCAGCAAAATATTTATTCGTAGAAAACAAAAAAAAAGTTGCAAACATAACTGCATACATCCTAATGCAAAACATACAGTACGCGTATAACAAACAAAGTTCAATAATCGGACGAATTTTTACAGCTTCATACTAAAGTTGTACTTTTCGTGCCTTTATCTTTGCAAATTGGCTAATCAGTTCCTTTATATCAAGTTTTTCAGTGATTTCTTTCTCTATAGACAGTTGATAATCCAACAAGCCCCTTTCTTACGCCACTGTGGATCGAAGGTAACTATCAATTTAAGCTTTGAAAAACTTCGCTCACCAATTGTAACAGTAACAGGCAGAGTAAGAAGAATACGAAATGCAATAAATATATTATGGACACTTCCAATGAGGCTATTCACAAATGAACTTCAGCACTGCTTGAGGTGCATAGATTCAATATCCTTAGATTCACCATGCTGCAAAGCAGATTCTAGCTTTACACAGTGTTCCATTTCTATTTGTGTCTTACCATACAAATTTTTAATATCATAGAGAAAACCAAACACAGAACTCAGCTGAAACATTTGCTCAAATTGTTCCTCAATTGACTGGATTAAAACATCAAGTACTGCAAAATAAAAGTTCACGTTGAATTTTTTCTTTTGGGTCTTGAACAGGTTGATCTTCTGCTTCATATGAACAGACTGGCCTTCTGCTTCATGTGCAAATTGCCTCTTTCTCCTTATGTACTCTGGTTCAAATGATGTGGATATCTCTAACTGTTCTGCAAGTTCACAAGTATCAACTAATGTATTTTCAAACCCTTGGTCACTTCTGCATTCTGTAAGAAAGTTCTTGGTTTGTTCTCATTGTTTGAAAGCAGAATGTACGTCATCTTCCTTTGCTTGAAGTTGCTTACTTGTTAGATTTACCTCAAAAAAAATTAAAGCATACCATCAGAGAAACCAAAACTTAAAGTCGGAAAGCATATTTGCAAGAGCTTTTGCTTCGGTGCGTGCCGCATTGCCAAACGATCCTGTAAGGATAGTGTCGTCAGCAATTTCCATAATCGCATCATAGATATTGCCAATATATGGTAGCAAAGAAGTTTTGAGACATCAATGCGACTCTCCCATCTTGTTTCACTTAATGGCTTCACCGTTAGACTTGTCACATGGTGTAAGAGAACATCCCAGTGACGTGGTGAACCTGAGTGCATTTCAGTGCATTGATACTTTTTGTAGTGTTAGTTATAATGGTATTGGTCGGTGAAGCTGAGTTGTCTGACAAAGGTACTTCTGTGTTTCTTCCATGCTCATCAACATATCTGTTGTTGAATGTGCAGAGCATAGCTTTAGTTTTGGAAGGATTAATGTCCATTCGTATGTCATCAAACAATTTGATTAATCTGTTATGAGATGGTTGCATTTTGCTTTTAATATGAGCTTTGATAGAGCTTCTGCTTTACAGTAGAATGTCACCAGCAAAGGTTTGTACACAGTAACTGGTTAGACTGCAAGTTTGACTAAATCCTTGATATATATATTGAAAGGCAGTGGTGAAGTTTGAGGCAGACCATTGTTCACGGTGATCTAATCTAATTGCTAGCTTCCATACTTCAAGAATGCATCTTCTGGTAATTAGCACAGATATGACCCATTTTACACATATTACACTGATGTCCATTTTAAACCTTTTTCATCAACAATGGGAAGCTGAACAGAATCGTAGATATCTTCAACATCTAAAGTTACTTCCAATATGTTCTGTTGGCTTCAAAGCCGTGTATCAGCTGAGAATTCAACAGTGTTTGTACACGATTCTCTTCCACTGTGATAACCACTTAATGATGATGGTAGTAGTGGTTCAATATGATAGGCTGGCCATCTAGCAACAGCTTTTGAATCTTACCTTTGATATTTAAGTACGATTATCTTCTTCTCCACCATAATGACCTTAATCCTGACTAGTATTTTTTTTAACCAAGAATTTTTAGAACTGGGTGACCAGTCCTGATGACAACCATATAGGGTGAGCATGATTAGTGTCAGAGGTTCGAACTCACGATCCCCAGATTATGAGTCAAGTGCCCTAATAGTGGGTAATGCCAGGTCCATTCAAGGACATTTATGGTGGTCTTTAAAATGAGTGGGCTTTAAAAGTATGTCAAGCTTTTTTTACAGTTCTTTACCCTCAAGCATCTCTCCACTACTGAACAATGTCAAAACAACAACTTCTGAATAAGAAAAACCCATATGGTAGAAAAGTTGGCACTGCTATCCCTCTGGAAGAAATACTGAGGTACCTGTTGGGTTATCTTTGGCGGACAACTCATCTTCACCAGCACATTAACAATATAATAATCAGAACTGTCAAAATTATCAACTGAAGCAGAAAATAGTGTTAAAGAATGTCACTTTTTCATGTTCTACCAGTCTTACCTGCATTATTTTGAATTTTGCATTATTGATGATCATCAATATGAGTGCTACACAGCTAGATAAGACTGAAAATATACAAAACACCTGTTAAAACTAATCACACGATATACTTCGTAGCTCTGTTCCAGCAGTCCTCAAATATCTTCATGGGAAATAAACATTGTGATGCCACTTGGAGCCTTGGAAATCAGCCTCGATAGAAATTGTAAAGATTAAGTTAGAGTTGAACCAGAAGAATACCTGTTAGCACTTGTTTCAATAATATGGTGAACAGTTACCTGTCATCATAGTCACAAATGGTTTATACACTAAATATAGTGAGAAAGATGGTTGGTCATTCAATGTCTTGCATAGCAAAATCATTCTACATAAGGTCCGTGGAGCATTAAAGCTTACCAGAAGTAGCACAAAGCTGGAGTTGGATACCATAACGCAAGCTTCTCTCTGGAATATGGAAGGCTACAAGCCACAAATAGCGTTACCAACAGATTATTTGCGACTAACTCACGAGTAGTAATACAATTCAGAGTGGTTGGCCCCCAGATGAATGACAGAAAATAAAACAAATGGATATTAAGACCCTCACCCTGATCAATGTGCAATGACATTCAGGGATACAGTTAAACTTGGAAGCTCAGAAGCTCACTAAAATGGTTCCGTTCCAAATTCAGTATAATCTACTGGCAGGATAACAACCTCCTCTGCTCTCTGAAAGTAGCAACCACGGAAAGTCTTCAACATTCAAACGTAAATGATACTGCCGGAAAACAATGTACCCTTGTGGTAGATAGGAAAGGGAGAATATGGTAAATCCGTGGGTCAATATACAGCTAGAAGGCCACTGCTGGCATCAGTAAAGGAACTTTTTCTAACCCCTATGAAGCAGCTGATCTCCCACATGAGGGATCAGCTCCCGTCAGCTCAAATCTAGGATGGTCACTAGTATTCAGCTTAACATGGAATATATATCGTCACTTCAAAGTAAGTACATTTATAAATATTCAACTAAAACTATCAGTTATAAAGAAGAATTATACGCCAAAATATACAAGATAGCCGCATACCTGTAATCGTAAACATTGCAGAAATAAGAAGTAAAGTCACCACTGAAATGTAAAGGTCCCAGTCAAATGCCTGCTTGATAAAAACAGCACCAGCATAAAGATCTGCCTGAAAAGGGTAAGTAGAACATAAATCCCATATGTAAAGGTTAAAATTCCATAACATGCTTGACCACCTCATGAGTTTAATGTGCTTAAGGTATTCGTAATATTTAATACCAAACTTAAGATTATATTAACAAAGTTACAAAACCAAAAAATCTGTTAAGGATATTAAGTGGAGAAATACCAGATATTTAGACAGTGGTTTGCAATTAAGTAGTAATTACTGTCATTTTATGCGTACCCACTGCTGCAAATCTGTTTGTTTTTTTTAACTTTTAGCAAATATCAAAAGATATTTGATTTATAAGCACATATCAAATTTCAAAACTAAAAACATATTATTTTATCACAAGTGCCATGTACAAATATTTCTTTCACATTAATATTCAATTAAGAGTGTGTTTGGAAAGGAGTTTCAAATATTAAGTTAATGTGAAAAAATGTTTTAAAATGTTTGCAACTATGAATCCATTTCCAACATTTTATAACATTTTAAAATTATGAGATCGAGATAATTATCAAATGGATATAGATCATCGGCATATTTTTCAACATATTATTATAGCTCTTTACAATATAGATTTTACCGTAAAAATAGATTTATTGTGAAAATGACATGGACTTACCTTTTGACTGTAATCCTCAAGAGACTTACAGTTATATAATATACATTATTCGAAAATTAACAAAAATAATTTAATGCAGAATTACAACAGCATTGTAACATCACCTAACATCACTCTTATTAAATTTATCAAGGAAGGCAAATGTTGAATAAATGTCAGATTATGATTAGGTAATTTAACAAAGACTACAAAATTCATTTAATGTCATCGTGCATAGATGAGGGTATGTTTGTTTGTTATGGATTTCGAGCAAAGTTACACGAGGGCTATCTGCGCTAGCCGTCTCTAAT